GACAATTGTTGGCTTCGCTGAACCTCGTGTGTACTGCCCTCTCCAAGCCGTTGGACAGTTCTTCCACTCCCAATGCATACAGTCGATGCTGCCTATCATCCCTGGAAACCCGCGTACCTCTCCAACATCGAGTAGCCGTTGGAGATCATCCGCTGTAGGTTTTCTTAGGTATTCATCTCCAAACAGTTGTATTATCGCAGTAGTGAAATGATCCAGACATAAATGTGCTGTACTTTCCGCTAGTCGGAGATATTCGTCGTACGAATCTCCAGATTGACCATATGCCAACATACGTAAGGCTGATGTACATTTTTGAAGTGTAGATAATCCGTACCTTCCGTGAGCATTTCTTCGTTGCTGAAAATATGGAACTTCATGACTTAGGCGATCGGTAATGCGAAGGAACAAAGGTTTGTTCATTCGAAAACGGCGCCTAAACATCTCTGGTGTATATGTTGGAGTTTCACTGAAATAGTCATTCCAGAGCTGAGAGTGTCCTTGTTCCCGATCTCTTTCGATATAAGCTCGCCTCGTTGGGTTGGTGGCTTGGGTATGAAGAATGGAGTCGATAAAATTATCAACTTGTTCGTCGATAAAACTATCAACTTGTTCATCTGCTTCATCACTTGATGAGAAAGACATAGTTGAACTCTTCTTCCTTCCTACAACAATCACATATTTTAAATTTTGAGTAAAATATAATAAACAATAATTTTTATTCTTTTTGTAACTAAACAATATTATTATAACTAAACAATATTATTATTTTTTGTAGCTAAACAATATTATTATTATTTTTTAACTAAACAATATTATTATTTTTTTTTGTAACTAAACAATATTATTATTCTTTTTGTAACTAAACAATATTATTATTTTTTTTTTGTAACTAAACAATATTATTATTCTTTTTGTAACTAAACAATATTATTTTTTTTTGGACAAAAACTTCATAACTAAAATATTTTGTTTTGTAATGAGTAAAATGTTTTATAGAGGAAGTTGGAATCAATGAAATGTTTCACCTGCCAAAATCAAGAGAGGAAGTTGTCGGTGCTTGAAGAGAAGTTGTATATAACCAAGAAATGAAATTGGTGCTTGGAATCAATGTAATCAAGAGAGGAAGTTGGTGCTTGGAATCAATGTAATCAAGAGAGGAAGTTGGTGCTTGGAATCACTCGTTGCAATTTTATAAAAGAAAGATTTGTAACTTGTGCTTGAGAAAGGAAAAGAGTTGATGTCGAATATGAGAAAGAGAGACATATATATAAAGAGTAGAGTTCAAACAACACTCTCACGGGTACACACACCCGTGAGTTTAAGTTACAAACTTGAAAATAAAGTACATAGCAGAGACATCACTGGACAACTATCACTGGACAACTATCACGGGTACACACACCCGTGAATACGTACTACAAGGAAACAAAGACACTTCAAACTTCAAACTTGAAACAGGGACTTGAGACTTGACACTTGAGATTGAAACTTGAGACTTGAGACTTGAAACAGAGACTTGAGCATCCCGTGAATCCACAGAGTCCATTGACCTACGAATGAAACAAAACATATCAGTCATATTATTCAAGTAAATGCAAACAAGAAACAAAACATATTATTCAAGCAATGTTAACCTACCAAATCAAAGTAAATGCAAACAAGAAACAAAACATATTATTCAAGCAATGTTAACCTACCAAATCAAAGTAAATGAAGACAAGAAACAAAACATATTATTCAAGTAATGTTAACCTACCAAATCAAAGCATTTCAGCCATTAACTTGTTCTTGAGAGACACTTCTATATCAGACAGTGTCTCTTCTTTCTTGGCTAAGAGACGTTCCAAGATTTTTTGTTTGGAAATGTTTTTTTTTTCTGCTAGAATGGACTCAATTTGATCAAAAGCAGCTTCTTTGCCGTGTTTCTTGTGTTTGGCCGATTTGCTAGCCTTCACACCAGGAGGCCTGACCTCTTCCTCCTCCACAACCACCTCCGCAGCTTCTTTCCTTTTCTCCTTTGGACCATCTCTGCTAAAGGCGTGGGACTTCCATTTCTGCTCAATCCTGAGCTCCCTCCAACAATGTTCTAAAGAAAACCTTAACTTATTGTCGCTAAGGTATATCTCATGTGCACGGTTCAGGACATTGTTGTCATTCGTGCCACTCCCTTGGTCCTTCAGAGCGGCTTCATGACACCCCACAAACTTGCAGACCTCGGCATTAATCCTTCCCCACCTCTGCTTACAGGTACTCGACTCTCTTGGAACAAGCTCACTTAGCTGAGGAGAGGAGTTGAAGTACTCCTCTATCCTCTTCCAAAACGAGCCTGCTTTCTGCTCATTACCCACTATGGGGTCCTTGCTGGTATTCAACCAAGCAGAGATGAGGACTAGGTCTTCTTTAGGTAACCACTTTCTCCTATTCAAAGGTTTTCCTAACCCGGGAGAGTGAAAAACAGCTTCAGCAGAGTCTACATCTACTGATGAGCTGCTCTGCGAAGCCAGTAGGTTCACAAACCCGGGAGTGTTAAAGGAGAAAGCTTCCATTTTGGATTTGGTTTAGGTTTTAGGTTTTCGTTTGTGTTTTAAGGTTAATGAATTTTTACTAGATGATTTGTGGTCTTTTTATACTAGTTTAAAATATCTACGATTTAACTATTACCTCAACCTACCAAACATTAATACACAACCACTTAGTACAAAGAGCAGTCATTACCAATCAAATCAGTTTGCTTAACTTTTGTTGGTTTAGTTTGGTTTAACCCTACGATTGAACATTCAATTCTTTAGCTTGTTTAGTTTGCTTTTAACCACCAACCATAAAAAGCAGACTTCAACATTTAACTCTACCTAACAAAGATTCATACAATTAGTTTTAAAAAACCTGTGTTCGCTTTACTTCAGTTTAGTTTTCAAAAATTACTTGAACAATTATTTTTACCTAACAAAAATACACACATTAAACCGATGCAGTTTCAAAAATATTCAAAGAAATCTCAAACAAATTTCAAACAAATTCTACACTTAAAATTTTAGTTGAGGAGGATTACCTTTATTTTTCATTCGAAGCTGGCCTTCTCCAGAGCAGCTACCTGCACCGTCAGACATTGCACCTGTCCAGTTAAGGTCTTCACCTGTTCCTGGACATGAAAACATAAAAACAAACAGTGTTAGTAAACATAACAATAACTTTTAAAAATCTAAAACACAACAGAAAGTACACACACCTCCAGCTTACTCACTCCTTCCATCAGCTTCTCAGTCTCCTCCTGGACACCAATGGCCCAAGGATGACGATAATGGAATCCGTCATCCTTGGTTACAACATACAAATACATCAGAATACATCACAATAGATAATACAAAAAAAAATTAAGACTTAAAATTATACCTTGTACTTCACACATGTGAAGAAACTCTTTCCAGGCAATGTATCATATGCCTCCTTCCCCCGAACCTCGTTGATAATTCTCCCTCCACATGGACAGGTTTTAGGAATCCCGAATTGCGAGTCAGCAACGAAGAATAACATGTTGTAATCTTCTTTTTGCTTCTTAGAATGGCGTCTCTCTTCCGCAGGATCCATACCTACAAACATGCGAACATGATTACCGATCAACTATAAACAAACCGTAAATCTAGCAATGAAAACGATATACAACCCTCCAATGAAATCCCCAAATCAAACCATATATCAAATGAAATACACGATATACAACCCTCTGATGAAACCCCTAAATGAAACCCTAAATCAAACCCGAAATCGAACCCTAAATCAAACCCTAAAACAAACAAACTAGGCGATTTCCAACCCCAATGAAACCCTAATCTACTGAACAAGACGATATATAACCCTCTGATGAAACCCCCAAATGAATCCCTAAATCAAACCCGAAATCAAACCCTAAATCAAACCCTAAATCAAACAATCTAGGCGATTTACAACCACAATGAAACAGTAATCTACTAAACAAGACGATATAATAACACACAAATGAAAACCCCTTTTCGATTGTAAACCCTAAAAATTTCACATCCCTAAATCGCTATCGAGCCTCAAAATCAACTCTACTTGACCATGACTCTACTCGATACTAACCTGCTCGTCGAGAAAAATCTCTGTCGTGTGAATTAGATCAAGAGAACGGAATCGATTCGAAATCGCCCACGGAATCGCCGCAGAGAAAAAAAGAAGAGACTTTCGGGGAAGAAAGAGAGAAATGACACGAGAGAGAGGAAAGCCCTAATTTTGGCCGACTCCGATAGCCACTCACCTGACGACGCGTGGCTTGAACCCCATTCTCGCGGGTTCATCACGAAGTCCCGGTTCACGGGTAATTACCCAATTTTTTTTTTTTTTAAATGGTTCGGGCTTAAGAACTCGAGCCCATGAACCCCTTTGAACCCCAAATGCAGATGCTCTTATAGACTAGGATAAGATTTCAAGTTTTATCTAGTTTTTTTTTGTTGCAATTTTGTATATATAACAGACTATTGTATAAAACCTCGATGAAGATGACCTTTTACCTCACACAATCAAGAGATGGTAAGTTAGTGTCGAAGCTAGCAAAAAGAGTGAGCTTGCACATGCCCATAATAATATTAGAGTTGTCAAAGTTTTAATTTCTTGATTGTGGATCATCCCTAGATTATCTAAGAGTACACAAGATATGGCTTATGGTGCTTACCGATTTTAAATTTTCATTTCATTCTGAAAAAAAAACAGAGCCAAAATGTGAAGCCTTGGCATGCAAGGAAACCGCCATTGAGCCAGACTTTCTTATCTCAAAGATCAAAAAGTACTTAGCGAGCAGTAAAGAAAGCACAAATGTAACTGTAACTAAATATCAGTAATTTGCATTAGTCAAAAGGCAGGGGTAAGTAAAAGTAAAACAAAGCAAATACGAGACCTTTTTGAGTTTTAGTTACCAATGAAAACAAAGCAGTGAAATATAGATGAAAGGTTTCAAAACATCAGTATAAACTATAAATATTCAATGCACAAATTAATGACACTGAGCAAAAACGTTTGGGGATCATTCACCAGAGTGTTAAGAGTTTAAACTAGTTTAAAGAGTCACCTAACAGAAGCGTGAACGTAATTAAACCGGTTATAATAGTTGTCTATCGGTTGAAACCGGTTAAAAGTTCAATTGATTGGTTTGGGTTTGGTTAGTAGTAAGTAGACTTCTAGTTCGAGTAGGTTCTGCTAAAAGATTAAAATTGCCAATAACGAAAGCAAAAACAAAACAAAAAAAAAAATGAGAAAGGAAGATTCGGAGGAAGCAGATCACATCTCGAATCGTACAGTCAATATGAAAACTGCAACAAGCGACCAAAGTCTCCTAACAATCCTTGACGACATCAGATCTTCCAAATGTCCGGTAATTACAGGCTAAAATTATTACAATTTCTACAAGTTTAAGACCCAAATCTCGACTCTTCGTAATCTAATTAATAATCTTTTTTTTTTTCTGATTTCAGGCTGTTATTAACTACGGAGCTTCATGGTATGACTTGTTTGGTCCCTGTTTTCGTAATGCTTACTAAGTGTTCGATTAAATGCTTCAGTGAGAATGTTTTTTTGGTGAGTAGGTGTGGAGTTTGTAGCCAGACGTTTCCTGCGTTCCAAAAGCTTAGCAACATTTTCCAAAGGATCAAGTTTGTTTATGCAGATATTGACGAGTGCCCAGAAACCACTCTTCACATCCGTTACACTCCGACGTTTCAGTTTTACAGAGACGGTGAAAAGGTTGACGAGATGTTTGGAGCTGGTGAAGAGAGGCTCCATGATCGTCTTTGGCTTCATTCTTGAAAAAACCAAATTATGAACTCTGCATTTTCTTTTATATACACTTCAATACTTAAATGATAAAATAAAGTCCGCAACATTGTGCTACATAATTGATAGATTATTGTATAATATATGAATATTTATTACCAAAAAATAGTATGTGTTCTAATGCCACTCATTCATCAGATAAGCTTAAAACATTTATCAAACATACATATGTACGCACTAAGGAGACATCACAAAAAAAGATCAAAATGTACACAAACCAGGAACTACATCAGTCTTTACATAATTCAAACATAGGTCTCATTCTTCTTCATAATAGGGATTCAAGAAAGAAAACGAAGAGGTTTGCCATACCTAAAGATGTTCCAAGGGGACATTTGGCAGTGCATGTAGGTGATGATTACAAGAGGTTTGTGATAAAGCTGAGTTTGCTTAAACATCCGATCTTCAAAGCATCGCTTGATCAAGCTCAAGATGGTTATGATTTCAGTTCTGACTCATCAAGACTATGGATCCGTTGCGATAAAAACACTTTCCTCGATGTTGTTAGTTGCAGTGGAGCTCCTCAGCATCAAAGGAACTGCATTGGCATGTACTTGTAAGATATGGAGATATGTTCATTTGATTTTGATTTGTCATCTCTAGATCTATGTTTCCAGAGAGAATTTATGTTGATTTGGATATTGTTGTACACTAATTTAGTATGTGTTTCGTTCATAAGTATAAGTAGGAGTCACTGAACATGCAACACCTACAAATGTTTCAACATTTAAACTCTGACAAAGATTGTTTTCGTCTCAGACAGAGAGCACAACTTTTAAGATATGGTTGCTTCTGTTGTGTCATAAAACAGATTGGAACTATTGTCTGATGCATATAATTGTCAGAATTCATCAAATCAATTACACGTAAATTTCATCTTATATTAGACAAAGTGACACCCTTCACATTACAATAAGATACTCAAATTCAAATATATAAAAAGAAGAAGCAAAGCAACAAAACTAAAGCTGGACAAAATAGAGGAATGCTCTCTTAGCCATATCGGAATTCAGTTATATTGAGTGTAGAAACTTTTTAACATTGATCACTAGGCTATGTGTTCCACTGAAATGTAGTTATATGAGTCAGTGTGTGCGTTTTATTTTACATTATTGCTTTGGAACAAAGCATATAATATAAGAAGCACTTCTCCTATATACATGTATTCATATGAATCACAAAACAAAAGATCATCCATTTGAAGTTTTGTTTATTAGCTTTTTATGTCTAAGCGTGCAATACAAAAAAGGGTCGATAGGCTATGTTCTTCCGTGATAGAAGATGAAAACATCCCCTATATATTAATTGAGAAACATTTGAAAAGATGTAACCTCAAGTTTGTATTAATTAAAAAGTAACCTTGCTTAGTTGTCAATCAATTAGCATATCAATTAAACTGACGTGGCGGCTTTAGGTTCAATTGAAATTTGCTAGGGAAAAATAATTAGAGACGCATATAACGCATGTAACATAGTTTATATATTTATA